TCCGACAGGAGCCCCGGGTAGTGGGGCATCACCAGGGCCTTGCTCGGGGCAGCCGAGTAGCCAACCAGCTGGCACACAAATGGCGACCCCCCGTCCGCCAGCAGGATGCTGAGGATGGCAATTTCCTGGTCGAGCAGCGGCTCAAATTGCGTCCGGAGGGAGGAATCTGCCAGGTATTTCTCGTCAGTCGGGTGTCGGCCGGAAACTCGAGGGGCATTGGGTAGGCGCGCGTACCCGCTGGGACCATCTTCACAGCACCGGCATCGCCGCCGGCCGCCGTACAAAGGTCCGTGCGTAGCAGTGTGCACGGCAGGACCACCGCCTGGGCGCCCTTGCCGAGCTCCTTGCAGCCGGGCTCGATGCGATAGTCCACGCCCGGGCTGAGGAGAAGATGGCCCGGAAGCGAAAGCTCTGCGAGGATAACCGTCAGTGCATGGAGCATGGGGGCATAGGGCATGGGTGTGTGTGAGAGATCACGCACCAATCATCGTATTCATCACGGTCATATCCTCCTGTTGCAGGATGCACCGGTTGCGCAAGTGGTGTCAGCGGCGATCGTTCCCATCCTGCGGGAAAGGGCCAGGGCGAGGGGAAAGGGGGGGGGGGGGGAGCACGAACCGGGTCGCCGATGTGTTGCATCGGGATGGCTTGGCCTTGCTTGGCGGCTTCGCGCCGCCTGCGCCGAGCCAGCAGGCACACCAGAATCACCGCCAGCACCAGCAATAGGAGCAAAAAGACAAGAGGCAGCACGATGGCCAGGATGAGCGACCGCGAGGCTGACAGGGGGCGAACGGAAAAACAAGGGAATGGGCAGAGGCAGGAGCGCGATGTCAAAGGTGAGACTCAAACCAACCATCCAACAACAGAAGGGGCCACCCTCAAGAGGGACGCACAGTTGCCCGGGCACTTGCCCGGCTGGTCGCAATTCGGCTCCAGGCACCCGTCCGGCCCGGGGCCGGAGCACGTGCCACACGCCATGTCGCAAGCCGAGCATACGTCAGCCTGGCC